TTGTCGTCGTTCGATCGAGGTCGAACTCTTCTTCTTGTGAAGGACCTTGGCATTAGAGGGTGTTATTTCGAACTTATCAAAATAGTAACTTGTCGTCGTTCGATCGAGGTCGAACTCTTCTATTTTGGCGAAGGCCCTTGGCCTTAATGGGTGTTATTTTGAACTTACCAAAATAGTAGCCCGTCGTCGTTCGATCGAGGTCGAACTCTTATTTTTTGGCGAAGGCCCTTGGCCTTAAAGGGTGTTATTTCGAACTTATCGAAATAGTAACCCGTCGTCGTTCGATCGAGGTCGAACTCTTCTTCTTGTGAAGGACCTTGGCATTAAAGGGTGTTATTTCGAACTTATCAAAATAGTAACCCATCGTCTTTCGATCGAGGTCGAACTCTTCTTTTTTGGCGAAGGCCCTTGGCCTTAAATGGTGTTATTTTGAACTTATCAAAATAGTAGCCCATCGTCGTTCGATCGAGGTCGAACTCTTCATTTTTGGCGAAGGCCCTTGTCTTTAAAGGGTGTTATTTCGAACCTATCGAAATAGTAACCCGTCGGCGTTCGATCGAGGTCAAAATCTTCTTCTTGGTGAAGGCCCTTGGACTTAAAGGGTGTTATTTCAAACTTGTTGAAATAGTAACCCGTCGTCGTTCGATCGAGGTCGAACTCTTATTTTTTGGCGAAGGCCCTTGGCCTTAAAGGGTGTTATTTCGAACTTATCGAAATAGCAACTCATCATCGTTCGATCGAGGTCGAACTCTTCTTTTTTGGCGAAGGCCCTTGGCCTTAAAGGGTTTTATTTCGAACTTATCGAAATAGTAGTCCATCGTCGTTCAATCGAGATTGAACTCTCCTTTTTGGCGAAGGCCTTAGGCCTTAAAGGGTGTTATTTCGAACTTATAGAAATAGTAACCCGTCTTTGTTCGTTCGAGGTCGAACTCTTCTTTTTTGGCGAAGGCCCTTTGCCTTAAAGGGTGTTATTTCGAACTTATTGAAATAGTATCCCATTGTCGTTCGATTGAGGCGAACTCTTCTTTTTTGGATAAGGCCCTTGGCCTTAAAGAGTGTTATTTCGAACTTATCGAAATAGTAACCCGTCGTTCGATCGAGGTCGAACTCTTCTTCTTGGCAATGTCCCTTGGCCTTAAAGGGTGTTATTTCGAACTTATCTAAATAGTAACCTGTTGTCGTTCGATCAAGGTCGAACTCTTCTTTTTTGGCGAAGGCCCTTGGCCTTAAAGAGTGTTATTTCGAACTTATCTAAATAGTAACCTGTTGTCGTTCGATCAAGGTCGAACTCTTCTTTTTTGGCGAAGGCCCTTGGCCTTAAAGAGTGTTATTTCAAACTTATTGAAATAGTAGCCCGTCGTCGTTCGATCGAGGTCGAACTCTTCTCTTTTGGCGAAGGCCCTTGGCCTTAAAGGGTATTATTTCGAACTTATCGAAATAGTAACCTTCGTCATTCGATCGAGGTCAAACTCTTCTTTTTTGGCAAAGGTCCTTGGCCTTAAAGGGTGTTATTTCGAACTTATTGAAATAGTAACCCATCGTCGTTCGATCGAGGTCGAACTCTTCTTTTTTGGCGAAGGCCTTTGGCTTTAAAGGGTGTTATTTCGAACTTATCGAAATAGTAACCCGTCGTCAGTCCCAATTTTTGGAGAGCCAGACATTTTCTGGGAGAGTCCCAGTTCGTTTGACATTGCTTGCATCAGTGGGTGTAACGTTGGAGAATATGAAACGTTGCTATTTCGCTTAGGTTTATTCTGCACACACATTGTAGTTTCTTTGTTTAACTTCTGCCTTCCGGCTTGGAGGTGTCACCGGCGGGCGGTGTTTCGGTTGTTTTGTAGTGGTTTTTTGTTCTTTAATTGAGATGTTTCTTTACTCGCTCGTCCGCGCGGCCTTTGTGTTCCTTCTTGAGCAAAGAGCAGAAGGTGAGTTAAAATGATACTTTCCTTGCCCCTACCCGGTGATCCAATGGGGGAGAACAGGTTGGTAATGTTGTTAGTCTTGTTTGGCATTTCGATGGCTGATGGGGCAAAGATTTCTAAATTTGGTGATTCTACTCGGCTCTCCTCCCCCTAACGTGTTGTGCTTTTGTCTCGCGTGGTTGGGTTTTTCCTTCGCGCTCTTTTCGGTGGGTGATCGTATTTCTTATCTTTGATCTGGGAGAGACTAGGAAATTTCACTAAGAAATCCCCACAGACGGCGCCAAATTGTTTGACTCAAAAGATATCGAAACCTTTTTGAACAAATCAATCAAAGAAGATGAAGGAGTAAATCTTAGTCAGACATAATAAATTCTAGATTAAAGAGCTAATAGTATGGATTATATGTAGGATGAAAAAGATATAGAAGATCTTATCGAAATTCAATACTGCGACCCCCATCGATCGATGGGGGAGATAGCTTTACATGTTCTTCTGTAGATTACTTCTTCCTATCAAGATTACAAGAAGAGAGCTTGGGGGAGAGAAAGGGGGGAGGGGCCTCTTTTAATCGAAGGTTTTCCCCTACTATATATAGTCATGACACCCTTGCCATTTACTTGGTTTGACGCTCTCTCGCCTCCGGTGTGTCTTGGTCATCCTTTTAGGCATTGCTCTTTCCGACTCGACGGGTGTCGGGAAAGGGATGTAGTGGGCTATGTTATTTTTCCCTGCCGGATTATTAAAGCGGGACGTTGGTCAGTTCGGTCGTGACGGTCAGATTTTGACCAATACAACTCTATATTTCCCTGGCAAGTCGCACTCAACCTTATACCTGTTTATGCCATGCGAGGATCAAAAGAAACATTCCTCCGACGTCTTCCTGCTAATACAGAAAACAAGGTAACAAACGTTTCCAATTGTATTATAACCATATCTCTTCTAACTATATTAAATCCGGTTCCATGCCGGGAAGTCCAATATTGAAGGTCCCTAATAATGGAGACACCATATCAGGGGCTCGAACCCGAGACCTCTAATTAAGGTTGAAGGAGTACTTACTACTCCACCACATATACTTCAACGTCTTTCCGCTAATACCAAAATAAATTAATTGATAAGTCTTGCTCTTATTTTGACACTGTTAGTTTCTTGCCCACTTCAAATATTTATTTCCTTTTCTCACATTTTCTCCTCTTGTGTACTTGATTGTTAGATTTTCGCTGGCGGCTACTCATCTCTTCCTTTGTCAGGCAAATTTCCATGAATATAGTACAATGTGAGTTATAATATAATTTATCAGTCCATCCATTTCTTTGTTTAATTCAATTAATGATTATGCTACCTTAAATTTTGGTTTTTCTTTTATTTTAGATTCCTTTTTATTATGATAATTATAATATTTGACAATCAAAAAATATAAAAGAAAATATTAGTTTGTTGTCGGAAAATAAATCGTTGTATATCTTTGGCAGAGAAAATATTAATGATAATACAACAATATGTAATTGAAGTTTTGTTATTATAATTCTTAATGTATGTTCTTAAGTAATACAAAAATCAGTTAGAACAAATCAAAAAGCATGACAATCTCTTATTCGTAATATTGTGATTCACCTTGTAACTTTTTCATTATTAAGTTATCCGAACCTAAAATAATAACACTTAACAAATAGTAACGTTGTTAACTTGAAAAGAGAATTATTATTATTTCATTTAATTTGATGGAGATAATCTCAAAATAAGATATCTTGAACTAATTACTAAATAAAGTATTTCAAATTTATTATTTCATTGATTAGCGTTAGAATTTTTGCATGTTAAGTATTAAATTGCTAATCTAATCAGTTTTGTTTCCTACAAATTTTTATGAAGACGTTAGGAGGGAGCTTAAGTTTCGTCTTTTTAGCCACCGCACCACATTCACATATTATATATGTTGTTTATTTAAAGCGTATTATTCTTTTTAAAATTTTTATTTCGAACAAATTTTTACTTGAAATTATTATTCGTTATTGCATCTAATGTAAATTTATTTTGCACTCTTCTAACAGGTTGCTTGGATTACTCGGTTGCATAATTGGTAATATTTATACTTTTACATATTAAATAATAGCTATTGCTAGCGCAAGAAATTAAAGTTTTTAATGTTATTTTTTAAAATTATTTATCTATTTTAACATAACATAACCTTACATTGTCCATTATAAATTTTATTTTTAATTGTCCATCTAACTATTTCAGGTTCAATCAAAATGAAAACCAAAGTAAAATCAATCCCCAATGTTGGATTACATGTACTGTAATATGTTTCTTACATGACTAACTTTATGTTGCACCTTTAAGTGGGATAAAAATAAAAAATAAAAATTTACCATATTGACATGTTTATACCTTACAAAATAAAAAATAAGCAACAAAAACACATGTATCTAATTAAATTTAATTGTTCATCTTTTTAGGTTCACACAATATCCAATCATCTTGACATTGACTTAAAATTTACCATATGATGATCCAACATTAATCAGTCACAAAATTTATATTTTTTCTTTCATGTATAATTATTTTCAAAGTTTTTCTCATAATATTGATATTATTTTATAAAATCATATACAACATAACTCGGCATACACGTCCAACGCACGTGTCGAGAAACTAGTTAAAACAAAATATATCATCAAGCATAGAACGTTGAAGTAAAACAGTAAACAAAAGTGAAAGTTGATTCAATGAGAATAAAAATAGATAAATTTCAGTTGTCGCCCAAAGAGTTAAAAATAAATTATATTTTTGTCGTGTTGGGGACCCCTCTTTGAGTCTCACATGCCAAAATTAGTTCCAGAAATGGAATGATTTTTCTTAGGGATGAAAAAATTGTTTTTAGATAATCTTGGGAACAACATATTTACTCATTGAATGGTCCAAATTGGCCTCTATTTGCCTATTTTTGTCAATCTTAAAATCTTGATGGGACTGAGTATTCTGCACAAAACCAGATCCAAACTTCACATAGTATGAACTAGTTAAAGAATTCTTTCTCCTTTAGCGAGCATTTAGAGGGCGCCTGAAATATCATCATCATCATCATCATCATCATCTATTATGCGCGTATGAGTTCTGCATTCCGTACATTCTGATTGAGTTACATTGTAATGCAGAAATCCCAACTCAAGCTATAATGGGAAACAGAAAAAAGAATAACCGCTTTCTTAAGTTCTTTCTATCTGTTTTGGGTGACAAAACTGACTATACAACCCGTGTCTCAGACGCCCTCTTCAGACTGAGTCTTACTACCCCTACATCTCTTGGTTGGAACAAGTGGATTATTCTCCTCATCGTCAAGTGCTGTCGGTCTCTCAAACTCTACACCCTTAAAAACTGGGTGTACATAAGCATCCTTGAGATATGCTTTTAAATTAAGGTTTGGTTCTGTCGCCCGTTCTAGTGTATCCTTCACCATTGCATCCTGCAGCAAACACTTCAACAATCTTAGCCTGAGTTGACAAACATGGTAGTAGCATTCCTAAGAAGATATAAAATGTATGTGTAAAGACTGCAAGTATAACAGACAATTTTTTCTAGAATGCAACGATTGTCTTTGCTTATAATGTGCTGCGGTAGGTAAGGAACACTAACCTGCAAGGGGAATTTGACAAATGCCGACTCAAATCGGCCCTTGCAAAATATATGGAACCAGATTGTCAGAATTGGAAGTGCAATCAGTATTACATTTGATCTGGCAACATTTTTGGTGCTCAACAGTCCCAGCAATAGAAGCTGGGATATAACCAAACCTACAATTATACGACGATGCACATCTGGCCAGAATGATGCGCCGCTCTCATACTTCTGATCATACACATTGATGATCTACAGGAAAGAACAAATTTCAGTATCTGACCATTTGATGGATCTAGGGAGTAGAAACAGTAATGGTAAATGTCGCAGTTCAAGGCCGTTGATACAAATGTAAGTTATCTTTTGCAGTAATTAGCTGAGTTTGTTAATCAAATAACGTGTTCTTAGAAATGGCTAAGTAAAGGGATGTCATCTCTTTGACTGAAGAAAGAGTTGTTACTAGAAATATAAAGCAAGAACAAGTGTAAAAACCCAACAAAGCAAACAGGTTCAGGAGAAGGGTCAATTCTTCAGATATTACATATGAACGTTATTGCACACTGAAAAGTACAAACTACATATGCTATATTTGCTTCATTGGCAATCCACATACCGAAATGTAACTCTTGGAGAACACTAGATGTTTTNAAGCCTTCTTTTATAGGGGGAAAATCCCCCCAACCCTTCTCTTCCCACCGATGTGGGACAAATAATTTTGCCAAATTCATCAAATCTCCACCTTGGCAAAATTCCACATCTTCAATTTTCTCTCAATAACAAATTTTGATTGT